CAGAGGAGCTGTCCACTGGTCTGGGTTCTGGGGCAGGCAGGTCAGGTTTCATTGGTTTCCGGCGGCCCCAGGGGCGAGGTAGCCAGCCACCAAGTCGTCGCAGGAACATGGCTGGGATGTGTAATGAGCCCCCAAATTCTCCGGCTGCTTCCTAGCACTGCTTAGATTCTCAGGTTTAGGGGCTGAGTGTCTCCTCAAAAGCCAGGATCTGTTCAAGCTCAGAAGAACTGTTATCTTTTTGGTGATTCCTACTCTGAAATCAGAAGTGGCTCCACACTTTCCTGAATGGTCGTGCAGCTTCAAGTGTGACAAGCAGCTTGTTTCCTTTTCAGTTCTGAGGTAAAGAAGAGAGGCACATCCAAATTCATTCACCACCACCACCCCCCCCCCACCACCCCACCACACAAGATTCAGAACAAGAATCTCAGGATCTGACAAGGCCTGGGTCACCCCCACGGTGACCTCCCTGCGTTTCCGGGTTTCCTTTCCTGCAGGCAGCACCCCAAGTTTCACTCACCAAGGCCACGCCCCAAGGTGCCCCAGAAACTGGGGAGGCGGTGCTCCATCCAAGAAGGAAGGAAGGTGGCCCTGGGTTCTCAGCTGCTCCCAATCTGGAGAGTCCTGAACTGCTGACCTAAGGGAGCTCAAGAATAGGCAGTCTCCTATTGGGGGGTTAGGAGAGGGGTGTTGAGCAAATTCCACTCAGCAGCGTTCTTCCTTTGATTTAGAGACCTATGAATCCTACAAAGCGGCCCGACCGGGACCCGAGCACGCAGCTGAGACGCGGCCTCCGCAAGGTCAGGCCAGAAATATCTTGGGAGATCCTCGTCTCGAGGCCAAGCGCGGGCCTGCCTGGGGATCCAGGCGTCCGGGCGCTGTGCGCTGCGACCCCTCCCGGGCCCGGCGTCGGGGCCGCGGCCTCACCAAGCCTTCTGGAGCCGCAGAGCCCGGAAGCAGCTGCACCGGGGCTGGAGGGACAGACGGGGGCGGAGCCCGAAGCTCGCGGGGCGGACCCTGCGGATCCACCGCCCCCCGCGCCCCCGCGCCTTTAGTACGCGCCACTCCGCAGGGCGCGAGTGGAGATCAGGCAGGGCCAGGGCCTGAGTGTAAACCTAGCCCCCCATTTTCGTCGCTCACAGGTGCTCCCCCTAAACTCGCCCGCTCCCTTTAGTCCCCTGCCCTTTGGTTCTTCCCTGCAACACCCCCCACCACCACCACTCCTTCTCATGTCCAGGACTTCATGGAAGGGTTTTCCGAAAAAGAAAGGTGTTTTTCTGGGACTCGTGTAGCTCTTCCCTGCCGTTCTACGCAGATTTTACTTCCTGGATCTGACAACAGTGAGCTCTCCATGTGCCTGGCACCTGGCATGAGCAGCGGGAAGGAGGGGGAAGAGGGAGGGAAAGACAAGTGCAGACAAACAGAATGTGCTGCTTGCCCTCAGTTTTCAGATAGTAAAATGAAGAACCTTGACTTAAAGGTTACATTTGGGAGGCCAGAGTTCTGGCTCTAGGTTAGCTAACATAGTAGAGGATGTATATTTCTAGGCCCTCCCACCCATTGGCCTCTTCCTGCAAGATCCTACCTACTCTCATGACCTCTGTCAGCCTTCCCAGGTTTCCCCTAACACCATGCATTTTATATTGATCACATAGCCACCTCCTCCTCTATGAGCAATTAGAAGGTTGGGAATTTTTTTTATTACTCTTCTTAGCACGTAGTATACGAACTTGTTTAAAATCAGTGATTGAATAAAAACAATGATTGAATTGGCTAGAGTAGTCAGGAGATCCTTCCTGGGGTAGGTGAGACTTGCATAGAACTTGGGCCATTCCTGGTTCAGGGGATTCAAAGAATAGGTGGGGCATTCCAGGCAGGAGCTAGGACGTGGAAGCGAACCAGACTGGCAAGGAGGTGACCCTATTATGCCACCTTGCTGAGGTGGGACTTGCGTGTGGCCCCTAGACTTGTTTGGTTTTCCCACAATAGCTTCCAGAAAAGTGAATAAAACACAAAAAAGAGGGAGAAGATTGATTTATTTTTCAATGCTCAGCCCCTCTCTCCCAAAGGCAGAGCCCACTAAACAAAACCTGAGGATCTAGAAACTGGGCAGACCCCAGGAAGTAAAAGCCAAAGTGCGTATGTCCAAGTTCAGACTTAGCAATAGACCATGATCAGACCTTACCAAGGTCACAACTCAAGGTTCATGTATGTCCTTAGGTCCCGCTCCCAGGCCCTGTCCTTCTCCTTCTGCTTTCTTTCCTCCCTGCGGCTCAGTGTGGTCACCCGAGGGGTTCTCTCCCTCCCAGCCACAGCCCGAGTATCCCGAGCCAGGAAGTGTGTGACTCGGGGTTGGGGCACTGATCTGTAGCCTAGTCCTTCTTGGTCCCTCTTGAGGACAGTGGGGATGGGGTTGGTGCGGCCCTCACCCCGGGGTCCCAGCCCCATTCCAGGCTCCCAGCCTCCCCTCAGCAGCAGCTTGAAGCCTGGGCTGGAGGTGGGCACCCCAAGGGGCAGGTTGGGGGACCTGAGATCGCGGGACAGTGACAGCAGGTGAGCAGTGGATGTACAATGGTTAGAGTCTTGGAAGTGGGCATCGCAGGTCTCACAGTACCGGGGGGAGGGTGATTGTGACCTGCAGAGAAAAAAGAGAAAGAGTTGAGGGCAGGGGAAGGGTTGAGGCCTTAGAGGGGGGTGGCAAGGTGGGAAGTCCTTCTAGTCTTTCTGTTAAAATTTTTTTTTTTTCAACGTTTTTATTTTTGGGAGAGAGACAGAGCATGAACGGGCGAGGGGCAGAGAGAGAGGGAGACACAGAATCGGAAACAGGCTCCAGGCTCTGAGCCATCAGCCCAGAGCCCGACGCGGGGCTTGAACTCACGGACAGCGAGATCGTGACCTGGCTGAAGTCGGACGCTTAACCGACTGCGCCACCCAGGCGCTTTCTGTCTAGTCTTTCTGTTAAAAAACAAACTGCCTTCCAATCCACTTAGCAATGAGGAACCCAGAAGGGAACAGCTACAAGAAGAAATAGCAATCAGGCTTCACAAGCTCTTGGCAAAGCATAATTATTTATAAGGCACTTATTATACGGGAAGCATCATTCTAGTACTTGACATATATTGGTCCATTAAATCCTAACAACCCTACAACAAAAGCGATCTTATTGCCCCCATTTCTCAGATAAAGAAAATGAGGGACATAAAAATTAGATTAATTGCCCAAGTAAGTAGTCAGAATTTGGACCCAGGGAGATCATGTTCATTACTACTCTACTACACTGCCTTATCGGCCTACACTGGGGGATCGGGGAGAGAACCCTTCAGCTCTGTTCTGGACCCTCTGGTATAGAGGGGCTAGGAAAGACAGAACACACTGAAAGAGGCATGGGCTAAGGCTTCCCCTCACCGGTTCTCTGGACTCCTTGTCTCTCCATGGCTCTCTCTGACCATGCGGGCCACCTCAGGGAAGCCTGCTTCTTCAGCCAGCTGAGCAGCATCCTTGCCACCCAGCTCACAGACCCCTACCCAGGCAGCTCCACGGCCCAGGAGATAGCGCACAGCAGCTCCCTGGCCTGCTCGAGCAGCACACATCAAGGGGGTCCACCAGAAGGCATCCCGAGCATTGATGTTGCCCCCAGCTCCCCCTGCCTCACGGGGATCCAACAGCCTTCTTAGTTCTGCTAGGTCACCCTCTTGGGCTGCCCTCAGTATCCACTGGGTCATTTTGTCCTCCGCCTCAAGGGATCTCCTTTGTCCGTGTCCTCCTGAGGTTCCTGCAGCAGCTTCCCTCATTATTCTTCTCTTCTTCCTCTTTCTCTTACTGGCAGGTTCAGGCTGAGATCTCTGGGATTCAGGGGCACTGCTTTCGTCGCCAATCAGGGCCTCATAGAACGCCCGGGCTGCAGCCCCATCCAGGGTGGGCTCCAGCTCTTCAGGCTGTGACTGCTGCTGCCCATCTTTCCAGAGGTCACTGGCACTGGTGGCCGGGGTGAAGGTGATGAGGGAGGGCCTGGACATGGCTCTTGGGTAAACTGGGAGGATGAGACTAGACAAAGGGAGGCTGAGACAAGCAAGCCAATTGCTTCGTGGCTCTGCATTGATCAGAGCCACCTCCGGAGACCTGCTGGGATGAGGAAAAATACCCTTAAAGTCAAAAAACCCTCTCACTCCCTAAGTGAGCCCACAACCTAGGACTCTGCAGGGACTAAGGACCATAGGTCATGTGGAAAAACAGAACCCTACAATAACAGCCCATGCCCCTTACTAAAGGTTAATTTAACAAAGACTCAGTGAGAGTTGCCACCAACCCCATCGTCAACAACAATAAATAAAAACAGCTTCTATCTAAAACTATTTGACCACCAGTTAAGACATACCATTAAGGAAACAATCAGCCTGGCCCTTTAAATCTTCCTTGATCCTATGGTCGGGGTATTCTTCCCAAACAAGAACAGACTTTTTAACACTTCTACGGAAGCAAGAAGCTGATTTAAGGGAGAAGCTCCAGTCTTGGTAGTCTCCGCACGGCAAATAGCACTACTTTAAGCAAAGGAGCGGACGATCAAATAGCCACACGACCCCTAACACGCATGCGGGACTGGAAAAAAACAACAAAACAACACAAAACATTACTTGAGGACGCAGGCCTGTGCTAAGCGCCAGGTTCAGCTTCCCCACCCTGGGACCTTTTCCAGAGCATCCGCTCAAAATGCCACGTGCTTAAGTAGCGCGAGGACAGTCTGTCGGTTGAGGTCCTACTTTTACATAACGCCCCCACAATGCCTCTTGCCTCCCTGAACGTGGCCCCCCTCTCCGAGCTCATTTTTTGGAACTGGGAAACCACTCTCTGAGTTAAGAAAGGCTCTGAGTTGGCGGAAGGAAACCTGTGGAATGCACAGAAGCTGTGAAATGAAATAACATCACCCTGCCCCTCACCATTATTCTGACCAGGGTTCGAAGGTCATACTTAGTGCCCGCAGCATAAGGCCCCTTTCAAGCCCTAAGAGGAAATGGAGAAGTGCAAGGGGACGAGCAACAGAATGGCTGGCGCCACCTCAGGTTAGAGCACGGGGCCATCCCGGTTCTCACATCGCTCACCTCAGCCGAGCCCACCCTACCGAAGTCCCTCAGCAGGGAGCCCGGCCTCACCTCCCGCCCGAGGAGACCAGACCCCGGGGTGAAACACAAAGTCCCCCCCCCCCCCCCTCACCGCGAAGCCTCCAGTGGCGGGCCTAACTCGGGCGAGGGGCTCGATAGGCAATAAGGACCGGCCGGTTAGCCGGGGATGAGGTCAGTCCCCTGAGTAGGAGGGGAGCGCCTGGGACACAACCTCGCTGCGTGAGGGGAGCTGCAGGAAACCAACCAGCCAGCCAGCCTCGTTCACTTCCCCGCCCCTTCACGGCCCCTCAGTCGCGGGAACCTACGACTATATTTCCCAGGCTCCCCGGCCCAGAACGGGTACTGGACTTCCGCTTCCGGTGGCACCCCGCTGCGCTCGCCCCCGAGCGTCTGGCTCAGGGGCCTCGCGACACAAGGGTCGTGCGTGGGTCATTCTGGGATTCGTAGTTCACCTCTCCCTCGCTTCGCCAGTTTCTTTTTACCGGGGACTCCATCTCCCGGCGTTCGCTGCGGCGCCCGACCCTTGGCGCTTGCGCGTTGCCCTCTCCCCACCCTCCCCGATTTCCACTCCCCCCACCCCACTTCGCCTGCCGCGGTTGGGTCCGCGGCCTGCGTTGTAGCCGTCGCGGTTTCTTGGAAGCGGCAACTCCCCTCCCCCACCCTGGTCCCGGTCCCCGTCCAGCCGGTGAGTCTGAGGTAGTCGCCGCGCCTAGCCCCCTGCCCTTAGGCGCGGCACATGGGGTCTCCGCGCCTTGATGTGGGGGTGGGGAAGGAAGTGACCCGGTCCGGAACCGGGGGAGAGAGGGATGGCCTGAGGGGCGGAGGTGGCATGTGGGGACTCCTGTGAAAGGGACTTCACGGCCACCCCCAGGCCATGAGAGAAAAAGGGTCCCAGCTCTTGCACGGAAAGGATAAACTTCGGGACCCTTGGGAAAGGCGCCAGGGACATTCAGAGACCGTCGGGGTAGGGAGTTCGAGCCTGGGGCTCTGCTGGAGTTGACAGGAAGGGAGAGTGGGCTGGTCTTCTGGAGCGATAGGGATGTGGGTAGGACTGGTGGGTCAAGACCTGTCGGTTTCTTGAAAGCGGTGGGACTCCAAAGAATCTCTGATCTCAGAGAAAAGGGGCTGAGATGTGAATAAGAGGGGCCGGAGAGAGGTGCTCTAGAGTCTGGGATCCTTTAAGGAAAGGTTGCCCCAAATTCTTCCGTGGTTAGAGATCTAAGTGTGGGAGGAGGGAGGATACCAGAGGCAAGGTGGGAGAGCTTGGACTTAACTTACACTCTCTTTTTTCCCAGCTGACGTGAAGATGAGCAGCTCAGAGGAGGTGTCCTGGATTTCCTGGTTCTGTGGGCTCCGTGGCAATGAATTCTTCTGTGAAGTGAGTTCTCAGTCTCCCAGCTGTCTCTACACAAAGTTTGGCATTATATTTCCCCACATATTTAGCTTCCACACGCTTTTCTTACAGGTTTCCATAGAAACTTTTCCTGTCAAGGAAGAGTCCCGTCAGTAACTCCCCTCACTAATTTGTGAAGTGGCAAGACTTCCCAGGTCCCAAACCTGCTACCCTCTGTAACATGGGACAAGTCAACCCTTTTATTGTTATTAAAGTTATTATTAGACTGGTACTGGGAGTGCTTCCCGTTGGAGTCTATTAGAATTAAAATGTCACATGTGAAAATGCTTTGTAATGTGGAAAGTTGTCTACTAATAATATAAAGGATTGTAACTATCCACAGGACTGAAGCTGTTGAGTCTCCACTTTCCTTAGAGACCTAGCTGCTCTTAAGGAGAGGACAAAACTGGTTCCTAGGGATGAGGGCAGGAGTAGGAACAGGGCTTTTGAAAGGAATGTCTCTTTAAGTAGGAGATTGTTGTGGCTGCTTATCTGTAGAAAAGAAAAGCCAAAGCTTTTATGGGAAGGCTATGTATCTGAACTGGGGAGAGAGACTCAAGTACTTCTGCTGAGCTGGGGTTGAGGAATAAGGGGAAACCAAAGCAGTTGTGTTAAGAATAAGGCACCAGTTAGAGCAACGTGCCCAAGTCAAAGCTGAGGATTCTGCTGTGGGTTTCATCTTGACTTCCACATCCTGACAGGTGGATGAAGACTACATCCAGGACAAATTCAACCTCACTGGACTCAATGAGCAGGTGCCTCACTATCGACAAGCTCTAGACATGATCTTGGACCTGGAGCCTGGTGAGGCACCCTCAGTGTTGTTTAGTGTGTATATGTTCGTGGTTTTGTTTTTTGTTTTTTGTTTTTTTCATGTTCCTGTTTATCTGCTTCTTGGATTTCCATGTGTCCTTTTGGTTCTCTGTCGTTATCCAAAGTCCCCTACTTCATTTTGGTCTCCCATCTGACTCTTGCCCAGTTTTGTGACTTACACCTCCTGTTCCCACACTCTGGTCCTGTAACTTGGCTCTGTCTCCTAATGCTAGTTTCTCCTTGGGTCACCTTTCCTGCTTTTTTTTTTTTTTTTTTTTTTTTGCCTTTCACCTTTCAGTTTCATCTTCTGCGTTGACATCTTTGCATTTATGTGTTGAGGAGGGGTTGGGAGGGAGAGAGAGCAGAGGCTGAAGAGATGTGGAAAGAAGGCAGAGCTGCCTTGGGTTGGTGGAAGGGCCAGAGGCCCAGGTTTCTGGGTCAAATGCTCAGGTGATGGGTGACTTAAAGATGGGTGCAGGGCACACTGAGTAGCTGGCAATCCCTGGCAGTGGGTGGGGCATCTAAGAAAGCTGTAAGACAAGTGGTTGCAATTGGCCGGGGCTATGTTTCAGATGAAGAGCTGGAAGACAACCCCAACCAGAGCGACCTGATTGAGCAGGCAGCCGAGATGCTTTATGGATTGATCCACGCCCGCTATATCCTCACCAACCGTGGCATTGCCCAGATGGTGAGGCCTCTCTGCTCCCACTTGACTCCTCTGAGGCAATAAGGGAAACAGAGTTTCCTGCAGCACGGGAGTCAAACGTTTCAACCTTGTCAAGGAATGTAGCCAAGAAGAGGGGAAGAACCCCACAACCTGGCCTTGGGAATTAAATCCTAATTGGGGTTTGTGCTGACTGAGGTGTTTTGGGGGAGGGAGACATGACCTTGGACAGGGAGTTGTTGCAGTCTGCCTTTTCCTTAGGGAACAAACAGCGAATGGCTCTGATGGTCTGTATCCTGCCTAACTGGAGGAAAGGAAGCAGAGGAGTATGAGGGCCTGTCTGGGCCTGCTTAGAAGGGGTCTCTGGACAGAGGCAGGAGTTGGGGACAGAGTGACGTGGCTTGGGCTGAGGAGGGGATTGCCTCTTCTCTTTGTACCTACCTACCAACCCCTTTCATTTTATTCACCTCAGTTGGAAAAGTACCAGCAAGGAGACTTTGGCTACTGTCCCCGTGTGTACTGTGAGAATCAGCCAATGCTTCCCATCGGTGAGTGTTAGAGAAGGGGAAGGAGGCCACATCAAATGGCAGGTCCTCTGGGAAGGAGTTGGGGTTCAGCAAGTCGGGGCCTCTGTGTGGGAGGGAGGTTGGGCAGGGTTGGGGATGCCCGGCCTGCTGAGTCTGGCTGTCTCCCAGGCCTTTCGGACATCCCAGGTGAGGCCATGGTGAAGCTCTACTGCCCCAAGTGCATGGACGTGTACACACCCAAGTCATCGAGGCACCATCACACGGACGGCGCCTACTTCGGCACCGGTTTCCCTCACATGCTCTTCATGGTGCACCCTGAGTACCGGCCCAAACGGCCCGCCAACCAGTTTGTGCCCAGGTGGGGAGCAGGGCTAGAGTCACCATGGGTCAAAGGAAAGGTTCGGGATTCCCCAGAGAGAAGGGAGGACAGGGCATGGTCCTTTCTTGAGGTTTGCTTCTCCCACAGCAAGTGACCTTGGGGAAGGTATTTGATTGCCTGTGCCTCAGTTCCCTTATCCATGAAACGGGGGTGATGATAGTACCTGCCTGACGGAGTGTATTTAAATATACCTGACAGAGTATATTTAAATAGTGAGTTGCTTTGAATAACATTTGGCACTGGAAGTACCATTTAAACGATAACTTTTTGCCATCATCTCGGGCGCTCAGCCTTTTGCCAGGAGAAAGTGTGGTTTATCTTCCTGGAACATCATGTGTACTGGGAAGAACAGTTTGGTGTTCTGTTGAAACAAGTGCACACAGAAGCAAGCAGTCACATTCCTGTATGTGTGTGTATGTTTACGTATATCCTAGAGTAAGAGTTTTAATGGCTATTCAAGGTATATTTCCCAGTATTCTGGAGGGAAGATGTTTGGGAACCACTGTCCTTAAGCACTTAGCAGACCCATGGAGAAGCTGGGGTGGGGAGGGGGAAATGCAGGCCACTGGCAGGGCCAGAGTGGGGCTCACCCTACTGCCTCTGATCTGTGCCCTGGCCCAGGCTCTACGGTTTCAAGATCCATCCAATGGCCTACCAGCTGCAGCTCCAAGCCGCCAGCAACTTCAAGAGCCCAGTCAAGACGATTCGCTGATTCCCCACCCAACCTGTCCCTCTGCCTTTAACACCTCTATTCCTTTGCTGCCACCCTTTCAGGAACCCTCTATGGTTTTTAGTTTAAATTAAAGGAGTCATTATTGTGGTGGGAATATGAAATAAAGTGGAAGAAAAGGCCATGAGCTGGTCTGCTGGTGCTTGGGGATGGGGGATGGGAGGGTAGTGCTGTGCTTGATCCCAGGGGCCCTCATGGCCCAGCCCACCCTCAAGTTGAAAACCAGCACAGATTTGTGCCCAGTAGATTTGGGTGATCTTTTTAGCAGTAGAGCAGAACTAGCAGTGGATGCGGAGATGTGCAATGTCACATGGAAAAGACCTAGGGGAAAATCCACTTTCAAAGACTGGAGACATAATTTGTTCTTTTTTGGCCACCTATGGCTGTACATTTATACTGTAAGGAGTATAATCAACAACAAAATATTTCGGTTTTGATTTTACAGGGAAAGTGGTCCTGAAATAAATACAACGGTAAGGGGTGGAAAGAGGGACAAGGTCCAGAGTTGCTGCTGGGTGGTGTCTGTGCGCCCTCTGCTGGGGGAGCTGACACGCTCATCTCAGAAGGACAGGGACCCTGGGCGCCTGGCCCAAGTGTTTCCCAGCACAGTGGGGATTCGCTGTATGTGTGGGGAGGACAGCAGGTGGTACCAGAGACAGACACTGTCCATGGACCCTTGAGGTGTGGGAATAGATTTTTTCAGGGCATGAGAGAGACAGATAGACAACTGGATAAAGGCCCAGGTGTTGTTCTTGTGTAGGCCACTGTTCCCACGTCCAGGAACCTGACCTTGTGGGTGAGGACATGCCGTCCCTCCAGCCAAGTTAATAACTTCCTCCCCCAGCCAAGGAATATAGCTCTACGTCTACAGCAGCTCCTGCTCAAACTATCAAAATCACCCTGCAAGGAACATGGTCACAGGAAGGTGGGATTTCAGGATACCCCTCAGGGACTGCCCTTCTCAGAATTCCATCATGAAGTTCCATGTACTTGTAGGTGTGCTGGTCATGGTGGGCTTCACAGTGGGAAAGGGTAAGTGGGGCCCAGGGGCAAGGAGGGAGGGGTGACTGAGTCCAGGAAGGGCGGGGGGTGCTGTAGCACTCGGTTCACAGGCTCCCTGCAAGGCAGAGAACTTGGAATGAGCCAACATTCCCATCCTTCCTGTTTTCTGCTTCCCCAGCTCCTGTTTCTGAAGTCCGGACCTGTCACCTCTGCCTCTTAGAAGACCCTTCTACAGGGTGCATTTCCGGTTCAGAGAAGTGCACCATCAGCAGCTCGTCGCCATGCACGGTGATAACCATCTGTTGTGGTGAGTCAAGTCCCAGGAGGGAGCTGCTGGTGGGATAGCCCGTGGCTTGGTCTCCTCTCCTCTCATAGATGAGGGCTGCTTAGGGCCTGGGGTGCAAGAAGAAGACAGGAGGATCCTGAAAAGAGGAGTCTGGGGTTCTCGGGGGTCAGCTAAGCCAATTTTTCTGGCCCATTCTGAAGGAGTCTGGGCTAGAAGTCAGGTCTGGGTGAGGGATGGGGAGAGTCTAGGGTGAGGATACCAGGTTTGGGGACCATGGGAGGCAGCAGGGGTATTAGCTGTTCCCTCTTCTCCAGATACCAAGATACGTTTCTTCGTCCGAGGCTGTGGACAGTACAATTCTTACCGCTGCCAGGAAAAACGCAATACCTACTTCTCGGAGTACTGGTACCAGGCCCAGTGCTGCCAGTACGATTACTGCAACTCCTGGTCCAGCCCCCAGCTCCAGAGCTCCCTGCCTGATCCCCCTGCTGGGGCCTTGGCCCTGCCCCTGTTGGAGTTCCAAATCCAGTGGTTCTACAAGGCTCTGAACCTCTCACTGCCCCTACCCACCTTCCATGCTGGGAAGGAGCCTGAAGGCCTCGACCCCCTGGCCACCCTGCCCCTGAACCTGAGCTTGTCCATCGCTGACCTGCGCCACGTATACTTGTCTCTCAACAGCTCAGGACTTTTGGTTCTTCCCTGGGCCGGGCCCTGATGCCTTATCCTTCTTGGATTTTACTCTTCCAGCATCTCTCTCCTAACACCCCAGCACCTAGTGCTGCCCTCCTAGAACACCCACATTCTCTGGTCTGTGATTTTTCAGGCCTCCCTTCCTCTGTGCTTCCAGCATCTGTATGGCTTAGGTTTCATTTCCTTCCCAGAAACCGCTGTGGCACTGCACCAGGACTCTTCTTTCTCCTAGAAAATACCAAGTTCACTTTCTGCCCAGGTTGACCTAGGGAAGGCACAGTGGTTTCCTCGTGCCTTTCTCATCTTCCAAGTCCATCAGCCCCCTCATCTTTCCAATCCCCTGTCAGTCCGGCCACCTGCTATCTCCATTCAGGTCTGGTTGTAGATTGCAGCCCATGCCTATCTTAAGACCCAGACTGAAGTTGTAGCAAGAAGAATGAAGCTTAGACATCTGTGCAGATTTCCTGACTAGGCACTCTGGTGTCCCTACTTCACTGCCTCCACCTCTACTCCTGCCCTGGTTTCCTGCTTCTCTCCTTTTGCCACCGTCTCTGGCCTCCTCAGCCCCACTTCACATCACTGAGTCCTGACACCCACTTCCATGGGTTCTAGGGGAGAGGAGAGGCGAGGGTCGGCCCTGCTCTGCACTATATCTCCCGCTTACTCTCCAGAACCTCCACAATAAATGGACTGGGCTAAGTCTGTGTCACACTGTTGATGGGGTCAGGCTCAGGTATGGACAAGTGTAGACCTGTTAAAGTTAATTGGGCATGGGGAGCAAACAGTTTACAGCCTGGCCCACTCCACTTGGCCTTTGTGGCTTTCTCATGGCCTGCCCCCAAAGGGCTTGTATCCATCCACCTTCTGATTAGCTAGGACTTCTCCTAGCCTTTAACTTACTCCACAGGGGCACCTGTCTGGCTCAGTAGAGCGTGTGACTCAATCTTGGGGTTATAAATTTGGACTCCACATTGGGTGTAGAGATTACTTAAAATCTTTAACAAAACAAAACCGAAAAACTTTGCCCTACAAAACCTAGAGAATTAAACCCTGGTTACATTGACTTTTCCATCTAACAGAGGAGGAAAAACTCGCCTTTAAACCAGAAAAACTCAGGAGCAAACCAAAGGGTCCAGGCCTGTATCTGAGAGTCCCCTGGTGCTGAGGAACCTGGGTTCTTGCCTGTTCTTTCAGCATCCTGGCACCCAGGACCACCTCTTTAGGGAGCTAGGTTTGGGGGTTGGGGATGTTCACAAATTATACAGGTGAGGCTGCAGTTTAGGTCTTTGATTTTAATGTTTTATTTTTGGAAAACTACAAGCCTACAGAAAACAGTAGTGAATATTCGTAACTTTTTTCATACATGCAGTTAAACACACTGTTCTGGGTGTGGTGTTATTGAGTACAGCCAGGTGCCCACCCTTTTGAATCTCACAACCCAGTGCTGGGGTTGTGAAACCTTTTTCTAAAAAGCAGTGTGCACTTTGTGGTTGGGGGACCCAATTCCAGCTCCTCTGCCACTTGGGTAAGTTGGTTTCTGTCTCACTTTGGTCACCTGTCAAGGAGGGATAGTACCTCCTAGGATTGAGAGAATGCATGTTTGTGTGCACAGGTGAAAATTAAAGCCTCAAAAATAGACACATGGGACAAAGGTACCTACAGATTGTAGCATTTATGTATGTATGTATGTATGTATTACTACTACTTAAAAAAAAAAAATGTTTGTTTATACTGGCGCCTGGATGACTCAGTTGGTTAAACATCCGACTCTTGGTTTCAGCCCAGGTCATGATCTCACAGTTTGTGAGATTGAGCCCCACGTCGGCTCTGCTGACAGCATAGAGCCTGCTTGGGATTCTCTGTGTCTCTCTCTGCCCCTCCCCCACTCATTCTCTCCCCTCACCTCTCAAATCCATAAACTTAAAAAATAAAATAAAACTTTTATTCATTTTGAGAGAGAGAGAATCCCAAGCAGGCTCTGTGCTGCCAGCACAGAGCCCAATGGCAGGGCTCAAACTCACACCACGAGATCATGACCTGAGCCAAAACTAAGAGTCAGACACTTAACCAACTGAGCCACCTAGGTGCCCCACTACTTTTTAAAGTAATCTCTATCCCCAATGTGGGGCTTGACTCACTACCCCGAGTTCAAGAGTCACATGCTCTACCAACTGAGCCAGCCAGACACCCCTGGCCTATTTTTAAGCCTCTGCCAAAACATACCAAAGCTTACACATACCATAATGTGGGTTTTTCTAAACTTCACACCCAGATTACCAGTCCTCAAGTCACTATAAAGGCCTATACCAGCACCCAAAGCAATCTTCGTGCACCCTCCCAGGCACTTCTAACTTGGGTAGCTGCTGTCCTGAGTGGTAGCTGCTTAGAGGAATTTTGTCTGTGTGCTTGGTACAAAGGGCATCATGCAGCATATACTCTTACACATTTTGCACATATGTTAGCAGAGATCACTGGCCCTTTAAATAGCCTATGCTCTGGCAGGAAACTCCAATATTAATTGGTAGGTAAGAGAGCAGTGTGTGGGGGGGGGGAGGTGTACAAAAATAAGTACAAACCTTCAGTGTGCCCCCCTGTCTGGGCCCACTTTCCCCCCATCATCTCTGACTTCAGTGTAGAAGTCTAGGTTTATATAGCTCTAGCAAGTCAAACTAGACGATGGTCTCAGAGGCTGAGGAACCCAAGCCCCAAGATTCGGCAGTAACTTCCCACATGGTCCTTGAAGAGGGAAGCTGAGCCTGGGTTCCGGCCAGGGCTCCACTAGATCTAGCGGCTCTTCCACAGGGTGCTTCCCCCCACCCTCTCCCTGGGCCTGGTCCCAGGCCTCATAGGTCCACTCCCGCCAGCCCTCACCTCCCACACCGTGGACCTCCCCCAACCCAGGCCCCACATAGCACTGCCAAGGGTGCCCACTGCCCTTTTGCCCTTCGCCACAGAAAGGCTTCCAGTTCTTCACCTTTTGTGCTTAGAGCTGAATCCAAGACATGGAGGTCGGGCAGAAGCAGAGTTCAACAGAGCTGGGAGCCCCGAGGTGGGGCAGTCAGGTGGGACCTCAGCTTTCCTCAGCCTCCACCACTACCAGAAGGGAGAGACGAGCTCTACAGTTTATACACCAATTTATTTGTGAGGAACACCTGGGGACTTGAGGCTAGAGAGGCCCATGGTGGGAGAAGGGGCAAAGCAAGGCCAAGAAGCAGCTGAGAGATGGGAGGAGAGAAGAGTAAAGCCATCAAACCGGGAGGACTTGAAGGGAAAACTCGGAATTCTGGAGAGGGGACCTGGGGGAGGGGCTGAGTGGGAAGAGGGGTGTTGGGTGTCAACTAGGAGGCCAATAGGGCCGGTAAAAGGGACTAGAAGTTGTTCTGGCTCTGCCACCCAGATGGAAATCAGGAAGATGGATGGCAACTAGCAGGGTTTTATTCTAAAAGTCTCTGCGGAAGTTCAACGGAATATAGAACACTGTTCTGAGGGTTATTGCAGACTCCAGGAAGCAGCATCGAGAAAATATCCAGAAGCCAAACACTGGAGAAGAGCGGGTTTACGAACAATCACTCATCTGCTCCTTGCGGCAGCAGTCACTCACCATGATGTCAGAACCACTGCCTGGGGAAGGATGGCAGCAACCAGTGATACAGACATCTCAGGTCCCAGGCACAATCCCAGACTCTTCCATCCCCTCCCTCCACATGGACTTACCATCACTGATCCCACACCCTTCCCTGACCGGCCGCCCCCCCCCCCCCCCGGCAAATGCCAAGATTCCTGGAACTGGACAGGGGCAGGAATGCCAGGGAGTCACCAGCTATGGATCCCGTGGAAGGTTGGTGGGAAAGAGCCATTCAAAATAAAGTGATGCGGGACACCTGGGTGGCTCAGTTGGTTAAGCATCCGACTTTGGCTCAGGCCATGGTCTCACAGTTCATGAGTTCAAGCCCCGCATCTGGCGCTGTGCTGACAGCTCAGAGCCTGGAGCCTGCTTCAGATTCTGTATCTCCCTCTCTCTGCCCCTCTCCCACTTGTGCTCTCTCTGTCTCTCTCTCTCAAAAATAAATATTAAAAATTTTTAAAAAATACAGTGATGGTTGGAGGGGGCTGAGTTGGGTCTTGCTGGGGGAGAACCAGCTGGGACCATATAAAAAAAAGTTGGGAGATGTATTGGAGGTCAGATTGCAAAGAAAAGGTGTTTGTCATCATTTTATGGAACAAAAGAGAAGATGGTATCTCTTGCTATTATATATATATTAGAGGGGGGAAAAATGTGTTCACAGGGACATTCATTCCTGCCCTGCTTGAGAGAGGAAAAAATTAGAAGCAACCTACAGATCCGTCAATAATGGGATTGTCAAACTCTGCTATGCCTGTGCCATGGAGAACCATGCAGCAGGTCAGAAGAACAGGGAAGCTGTTTACAAACTGATATGGAAACTTAAAATTCCATGACTGTTCATTTTAAAAAACCAAGTGCAGTGTGCCAGGGTGGCTGAGTCAGTTGAGCATCTGACGCTTGATTTTGGCTCAGATCGTGATCCTGGGGTCATGGGATTGAGGCCCACGTTGGTCTCTGTGCTGAGCGTGGGGCCTACTTAGGATTCTCTCTCCCTCTCTCTCTCTCTCTCTCTCTCTCCCCCCCCCCGTCTTCCTCACTCCCTCTGTCTCTACCTCTCTCTCTCAAAAATAAATAAATAGATGATAGATAGATAGATAGATAGATAGATAGAGGCACCTGGGTGGCTCAGTCAGTTAAGCATCTGACTTCAGCTCCGGCCATGATCTCGTGGTTTGTGAGTTCAAGCCCTGCATTGGGCTCTGTGCTGACAGCTCAGAGCCTGGAACCTGCTTCAGATTCTCTCTCTCTCTCTGTCTCTCTCTCCGCCCCCCCCTCTAAATAAACATTTTTAAAAGTTTTTAATTAATAAAAATGTATAAAAAGCAAGTGCACACCAGTGTTTACAGTGGTATGCTACTGTTTATGGAGGAAAGAAAAAGAGGTGAAACAACATATTTGCATAGAGTGAGATGTACACAAAAGATCACAGAAAGGATATCAAGAATGTGGAAAGATGTGGGGCATCTGGCTCGCTCAGTCAGTAGAGCATGTGACTCTTGATCTCAGGGTTGTAAGTTCGAGCCCCACGTTTGGTGTAGGGATTACTTAAAAATGAAAAAAAGTCTTTAGGAAAAAAAAGAGACTAGGAAGATTAGTTTTGTGTTGTTTGTGCATGAGAGCTGGGTGGCTTGTGCCAGGAGTGGGAGGGAGACTTTTCTTTGATGCGGTTGAGTACTCTGATATTGAACCAAAAGTATAATAAAAGGACTTGAAGGCAAGTTTATGCAGTGTTGTTAAGAGCACCATCTCCGGAATCACCACAAATTGTGGTTCAGCTTCTAGGAGAGTTGGGCAAGATTTTGACCTTTCTGGGCGTCTGTTTCCTCATCAGTAAAATGGGGATAACAATAATAAGAAACCTGAGAGGGTGGTAAGTGCTTAGAACAGTGCTGGCACATAATGTGTTCTGTGTTTGTTAAAAAGAGCAGAGGAGGGGCCCCCAGCTGCTCAGTCAGTAGAGCATAGGACTCCTTGATCTAGGGGTTGTGAGTTCAAGCCCCATGTTGGGCATTGAGCCCACTAAAAAAAGCAGGGGTGGAGGGCAGGGGGTGAGGGATCGTGTGGAAGAGCAGGCATGAGAAACAGGGACTGCAGTTTCAGGAAGTTGAAACTGAGGTGGAGCTGTCCAGAGGGCAATTTCACATGACAATTTGGCCTAACATTCACATTCATAAGGAAGCAGAGCAAATCCTCTGGGGAGAGTGAAGTGGGAAGACAGCTAATGCCTAAATTTTGGTGAACGTGAACCATTAGGGGTCTCCCTGAACAGAGAGAAGGCAGCCTGAGGAGAAGCCGGGGGATCTAGTGATCACAAGCCTCCCCCACAAGGCCGGGTGCTGTAAGAAACACATACGCCATGGGGCGCCTGGGTGGCTCAGTCGGTTGGGCGTCTGACTTCAGCTCAGGTCATGATCTCACAGTCTGTGAGTTCGAGCCCCGCGTCGGGCTCTGTGCGGACAGCTCAGAGCCTGGAACCTGCTCCGGATTTTGTGTCTCCCTCTCTCTCTGCCCCTCTCCTGCCCTGCTCTGTCTCTCTGTCTCAAAAATAAATAAAAACATTAAAAAAAGAAACGTGGACACCAGCCAGCCCCATGAGGGAACAGGAGGGGTGGAAGTGGAGACAGAGAATGGCTCTGAAGGTGAGGAAGGAGAGAGCATGATGAGCACTATCTAGGTAGGGGTTGTAGGAACCAGACTGTGGGGTACAGCTGAGAGATGCAGCTCAGGAATGGGTCGGGCCAAGGACAAGCAGCTCACTGTTCTTTATGAGCAGAGTCATGCAGCTGCTGCCAGGAGGGGCAAGGCGGATGTCAGATCCCAGAAGGCATCCCAACTCCTTGGTCTCCAAGAGGCATCGATAGCAGCGCAGATATTTGGAGAACTGAGCTGGATGAGGGGGTTCCGGATTGACAGGATCAAAATTACCTAGAACACAGAGCAACACTGACTCCAACCCCACCTAATTTCCAGGCTGGTCAAGCCCATTCTTCCCTCCCCAGCTTCCCGTCTCAGAAAACCATGAAATCACCCGTTCTTTAAAACCATCTGGCTTAATCCTCTATCACAGGCTTTCGTCAGTTTTAAAACCTCCATTCTCTGCTCTTATACCTCCTGAAATAAGGAAATCATTAAGGAATTCATTTACTCATTCAACATGTATTTTGAGGTACTACCATGTGCCCAGCACTCGGCAAGCTCCTAAGTTCAAAGACCAAGCAGAGGCAGTTAATTCCAGCCTGGGCAGTTCTGTGAGGACAGTTCTTCTTCTGGGACTTGGTTTCACAGTCTCCCCACCCCTATGGACCCCCTTTTGAATATGCTTTCTTAATCTGTAATGTTCAGTGAAAACAAGAGTGCATCACCACAGGACAAGAGGAATCTATGCGTTGTGTGGACAGGAGACTTTGAGTGGCCCCCCATCACATTATTTGTTTGGTGGTCTAATCACTGGAAAGACCCATATTAAACTTTGTCCACCAAAGCCTTCCCCACCTACGTGTATATATGCTCCCTCTTCCTCTCGTTCCAGGCCCAGATCACATGTCAGTGAGTCCCCAGACCCAGCAGAACACTTAGTGGGAGGCAGATACTGAACAAACACTTTGAATCCTGTTTCTATATAGACGGTGTTTTGCAGCCATGTTGAGGATGTTATCAGGCTAGATTCAGCCTTGTTCTACTGGGTGGATCCCGGTTCTGTTATCTAGCATGTTCTCGGAATCCTCCCTATTCTGTACTGCCCCAGATTTAAATGGAGTCCTTTCAGTATCTGCATTTAGGTCACTGCTGTTGAGACAGCCCTGGGGTAATAACTAGAGATATCCCTCAGAGTGAACAGCAGTCCATTACCAGTCCCTAGGCATTATCTCACCAAGTCCATCCATCCTATCTTTCCCTCTGCTTGGTTTTAGCTGAGCATCCTGGGCAGATGTGCCCAGACACCTGGTATCTGTGGGTCTCTCTATCCAGCAGACCAGGAGACCCTTCTGACCCCTTAGAGCCACTTACCAAACACCAAGCTCCTCATGACCAGCACTATTAAAAGGACCACGTACAGGGCTTGGGAGGTGCTATGAAGGCCCATGGGCTCCATACTCCGGCTAACTGCAGGGCCTGCTGCCTACTAGCCTCCAGTTGGGGCTTATATTGGTGAAAGAGAAGTTGGCCAAGAGGAAAGAGAGAGGCAACACCCATTTGGGGTGGAAATCAGTCCCAGAACAGCCAGAGAAACAGAGTGTCCTCACCCACGGCCACTCTAAGACCTAACATCCTGGCTTGGGGACAGGACCCAGACAAAAGGGGAATGAGAGGGAAACTTTTTTTTTTTTCATATTTATTCTACAGAAGTTTACTGAATCACTGTATCAGGTGTTGGGGATACAACGTTACACAAAATCCCTGCCCCCACAGAGCTGTCTAGTGGGGGAGACAACAAACAATGATGGGGGGATGGAGGGGGAAGGATGAGTACTTCCCGGGAGCACCTGGGCAGTCCTGAGCACTGACCAAAGGAGCAACAAGATCAGAGTTCTGTTTGTAAAAGATTGCCTAGGCCGGGGAAACCAGTTAGGAAGCTATTCCTGAGTCCCGTCACAAGATGGCGGCCTGGTCTGGCAGAAGAGAGGCAAGGAAAAGACGAATGAATCTGACATTTATTTAGAAGGAAGACTGGACAGATTTGCAGTTAGACTGAATATGGAAAGAGGAAAAGTGGGGGATAGGCTTGCCCAAGGAGGTGATTGGTGGTACCATTTTTCAAGATGGGAACAACGTGGAACTGTCAGAAATCTAGAAGCGAGGACACCTGAGTCCCGACTGACCTATTCAGCCCAGTGGCCCCTGTGGGTTCCAGGTAACTAGCCAGCACCTTTCCTTACGCCCCCTTTTACCCCACCCCGCCTAAGCTCCGCTGCAGGTCAGTAACTCTGATCTCCGGCGCCCACAAGGCTCCGGCACCGGGCTCTCGTTCTCCGAGCCTGACTGCACTTCAGGGGTCCCAGGAGGAAACGGGGGCGGCCCTCTGGCCACGCTCAGTTCTCTGCCGGGGGGGGGGGGGTGGCTGGCTGGCAATGAAACCTGGGAAAACATGCGTGGCGTCAGACCTAGCCTTCCGCCCCAAACAGACGCCCAGAGCACCACGCGGCTTCCCCGGAAGGAGGCGCTGTGGCACCACCAACCCACCGGGCCGGAGGCTAACGCCGCAACCAAAGAGCAGAGGTGGGCGTCCCAGGAGCCCCGCCCACGTCCTTTGCTGGGGGCCGCCTTTACTGGGGGGTTCGCCCGCTGAGCTCCTTCAAGCGACCAGCTCAGCACGCACCTCGCCAGGTCAGGGTCTCTGAGAGACTCAGGGTTTTCCCTTTAAGGGTCGGGGGTGCTGTAGGAAGAGCTCGGCGTACAGGAGCGAACCACCTGCTCCAGTTTCTGGTCTGGAGGTTTGGGGTGCGGCCCTGAGGGAGGGCTCCCTGCTTACAGTCCCAGACCATCCGAGAATCATTTGGCCTCGGGGCGCTGATGGGGAAGATGGGAAGAAATGGACTCAGATTTGAGCCAAGAAAGACGGACAGGAAAGAAAGAATACAAAAGGAAAACGCACGCCACTGCGTGCCCAAGAGCCTTGGGATAAATGAAATCAGACAATTGTATAATTGAAAAGTCGGAGTAATGAAGATTTGGGGAGGAGCGCCTGGCACCTGCATAAATGTCTGCTGAATGAACGACAGAGTGGTAGACAGAATCAGAGGGCGGAGGCTCCTCTTGAAGCGAAAGGGGCAGAAAGGAGTTAGAAGGGAATTTCACAGCGTCCTCTGAACCCGGCCTGCGGATAGCCGGAGGGAAGATGGGGGCGGTTATTTCGAGGGTGGGTTCGGTGCGAGCTAGGAGAGTGGTTCCACGGAAGGGGCGTGGCCTCAGGGCCATTAATCCAGTCCCAGTTTCATTTTGCTACTCCTCAGTCTAAACGGCTGGGCGCGGCCAGAGCGCCTGCCGAGCCTGGTGAGTTCGTTGCCGCGGTGATGGGCTTGGTGGAGGCTTTCCAGGGGTGAAGAGGCGGGGCGCTGCTGTAGTCGCCATGGTGATAGCAGCCGAGGACAGTTTCTGCGCGGAGTGCCTTGGGGACGCGGGATACCGGTGGGGGTAAGCAGCCGAGTGACGAAACAAAGGAGGTGGGGCCTGAGGAGAGAATGCTACAGTCAGGGCTATGGGCGGGGCAAACAAGGGGGCGGGGAGCCAAGTTCTGTTCGCTGAGCAGCTAGACCAGGCGGTCTGGAGTGGAACTAGAGAGCAGCGATCTTTAACCCGCATATGAATGAATGAAAGAAAAAAAAAAAAAAAAAAAGACTTGGTTCCTGAGGGAGTTGGGATGGCTTGTTGGATGGATGAATGAACGGATAAGTACCTGGCCCTCACTCACTTGTGACAGCTGGGAGGGAAACACCTGACCCTCTCGGGGGAGTCGAACAAATCCTCAGCCCAATCACCAAGCCCTGAGCCTACTCCCGCAACTCACACTGAAAGCAGCGCAGGGCGAGCCCGGGCCCAGCCCAGGGCCCACCTCTCCTTCCCAGGTTTCCTGCCCAGGTGTTAATCCTTCTTTGTCCCAGCCTCCATCCTCTCTCCCCGTGTACCCAGCTCCTCGGGGGCGCCTGGGCGTCCAGACCTTGCCTGGTGCCCAGTAAGGCAAGGTCCAGAGTTCCAGCAGATGTGGGGTCTGCATCTCGGCTGTTCTTCTCCTGGGACTGTTGGAACCCTGCTATATAGGGTGAGGAGTGGACAGGGAGCTGGTCCAACCGGGGGCAGCGGGTGGTGTGTGGTGGTGGTTCTAAAAACAAAGAGCTGATGTGAGCTTTATCACGTGGGGAGTAATCTAAGGAGGTAGACTGAGGCCCCTGGGGTTCGGTGGTCCAGAATTCAAATGTTAAGCCTCCCCTCTCCCCAACCACTTCAGTTATCTGAGGGCTCTTCATGGCATCCACTGTTCTTTATGCAGGAAGAAGGGGAAGGGGGAGGTAATGGTAGAGGTCAGTCAACAGAGTCCCTAGTGGCCTTGGCCAGGAAGGGGGAGTCCTTTGTCTCCAGGGTGTGGGAGGTGGGGCTAAGTGCCCCCTATTTGCATTCAAGGAGGTTGTTACCTTAACTGAACAGACTTGTTTTCCAGGAGGCTAACTGTCCTGGTGAATCCTGGAAGGTGAGGTTCAGAACCATCCAGCTGGACCTACAGCTTCATGCTCCACACTCCCCAACCTGTTTCCCCCTGGGATGGGACAGAGGAACAGAGTGCCAGTATCAACTCTCCAGTGTTTGCTAAAGGTGGAGCATTCTGGAGCTGTGGCCACCTCTTCTCTTTTGACCCCAATTATCAGGTATATCACCTGACAAGTCTCAGATCACCCTTCCAGTGGAGACTCAGTATGCCCCCACTGAAGGAGCTGGTGAGCTGGTGAGGGCAGACAGCCTCTGCCCAGAGACTGAGGAGCTTCATGCCCTGGAGTTCCAGGAGACACTGATATTAGCCAGAAGCTATCTAGGATATTAGAACATTGTTGCTTGCCCACGTTGTGCTTGTTCAAAACAGAGGGCCAAGGAGGGTAACCCTGGGAGCGTTTCAGCTAAAAGAGGTTTCCCAAGAAGAAGGTGGCCAGGCAACAAACTGACAGGTGGGAGGAAAACTCATTCTGTTCCATGAAGTCTGAGGATTGGAAATAGGACAGAAGTTACAGGAAGCCAATTTCCTTGGGTTCACCTTAGGGATTTTCTTCTAATAGCGTCCAGAAAGGTGAAGTGTGGCTCTGGGAAGCCTCAGTCCCTGGCAGGCCCTGTCACTGAACTGCAACAGGTGCGTGAAAGCAACAAAGGCACGGTGAAGAGGTGTGTAGGGTTTGCCGCAGAAGACATGGGGAGTGGGCTGTTCCTCACTCCCCCTTGGAACAGCAAGAGCTGAGTAAGGAAAACTGGTGATACTTAAGGTGAAGCCATGCAGGTTGGAGCTGGAAATCTGTAGAAGAGCCAAGTAGGGGAAATCAGGTACTAGAAAACACTTTGTAAGTGAAAGCTCTGGAGCTCTTAGCAAAGAGGGGGCAACCGTGAGCTCCTACAGTGGCTGCAGGGTTATGCAGGAAGGACTGGGGCGCAGGCTAGGGAGGCTGCAGGTGTGATACTACTAGACACACTAGCCAATGGGGAGGCTTGGGGACCCACTACATGAGGAGAGCTCAGGTTGGGGGCTGGAGGCCTGGGAGAACAGCACGGATGGGGAGGGTTAAGTTGGCCGGCTGGAGTCAGGTTCCCCAAAGCCTGGCTCTTTGCAGCTTCAGCTGTCACCACTACCGGCCCCAAGCTCCTGGACACTTGGAAAGTCACACAATTAGCCAGCCTGTAGAAAAAATACCTTTTTATTAATTATTAGGAATAATCCATTCACTGAATGCGGGGTATATGTTGGGGAAGGTTAGGTACTGCCAGATGGATGAGGGGAAACGTGCAATAGGGCAGTGAGAAGGGGGACAGCCCCCCACTTTCCACAAACTATAAATAGCAACGTGAACACAGAATCACAAATAAGAAGAGCCTTCCTCATGTCTCCTCCTATCCCACTCTTTCAGAACGAGTCCCACTGTGGTCCCTAGAGGTGCCAGGGCATCTGGAAGTTCGGGGCCGGGAGCGGGGTGCAGTGCGTGGCCTCGAAGTTGTGCAGATACTTCTGAGCCTGAAGGAAGAGGGCAGGACAGGTGGGGTGCAGAGCACCGCAGTATACAGCACCCCCAAACACCTCCACAGCCTCTGAAACCACCTCCCACACCCTACAAGCTGCCACTTCCAATGCTTACATGGTATCCCCTGTCTCCAAGCCCCCTGGCCATCCCGGCACCCCCTTCCTGCCCGCCACCCCTCAGCTCACCAGAAACAAGGCCAGCTGTCGCCTTCCGTCTGCACTCATGTCCTCCCCTGTGGAGAAGAGCCGCTCACACATGAGCCATACATCTGGGTATTCATCCCCCTTCCTGGCTTCTTCCCAACACCCCCTCCTGCCACAGGACGTCCTTACCCACACTCCAGGGGAAGTCAGGCCCGTGCTCTGCCTGGTAGGAGCGGAGGACGGACAGGCACCAGTCCTCCTCCACCTCCCAACGGCTATAAATCGAGGCTGCTCAGGGAGAGAAAGGAGGGCTTGTCAGTGACCTGGCCCGGCCAGGCCCCCACCCAAAGGCCTCACCGCATCCCCCTGCACCTTCCTCCAGCTGTGAGGAGGCTTCCAGCCACTGCCTCACCACTCGAAGACCCTCCTCTGCCATTACACGGGGATACCTACAGAGGGAGCACCAGGACGAGAGGTCAGGACCCAATTCTCTTCACTCCTCATCCCTAAACCCTCTTCCCTCCCTCCCTTGCCACGCCAGTGTCAGTAAACACATGCACACACACGCACACGCACGCACACACACTCCCGCTTACCGATACTGTAGGAGCTTGAGCAGGAGGTCATTGCCTCGGTTGGACATGATGTCCTCAGGAACCCTGGGGGTGAGAACAGTGTACACTGGAGGGGCTGGAGGTTGGGGAGGAAGGGTCTGGATACCTAGGTTTCTGGTGGGCAGAGGTGGGAAGGGCAACTTCCTAGCTACATCTGGGATCTAGGAGGGCAGAGGCTCCCAGGCACTCACGTGGTGGTGATGATCTCATCCTTGGTTCTGCGGATCAGCAACACAGGGCCCTGGTACCTTCAGAGGACAGTGTGGTGCTCAGAGGGAGAGGGGACAAGTGGCCACCCCACCCTTGCACTGGCTGCAGCCTAACCCCCTACTATAGCAGGGACCCACAGGCTAGCCCTTCACTCAGGGGTGAGAAAATATTTAAGAACAGGCATGGCCCACATTCTGGCCTTACTGGGAGATCTGCTTGAATACCCAGCAAAGCCTGTACAGTGGGGAAGTGGGGAAGGGAGTTACACGCCGGTTACTGGCCTGCCCTCACCTGCACAGCTGTTCTGCATTGTTCAGATTGAGATGCTGCCTCACGGTCCTGGTCACAAGGCCCCCTAGAGTGGGATCAGAGTGACGGGATGGCAGAGACAAAGCCCTTGCACAACATATAGTTCCCCACTGTTCACAAAGAAAACTAAGGCCCCAGACAGGGGAGCCCTCCTGCTTTTCATCCCGTTGGGTGACCCACTCCCCACCGACATAAAAAGGAACCATCTCCAGTTAGAATAGTTCCCAGTTCCACCCCACCCCTTCCCTGGAAAGGCAGGCCTGGGAGCTGCACTCACTCCAGCTATCTGGCATAACCTTCAAGGCCAAGGGCACCAAGTCATCAAAGGAGGCATCCAGGATCACAGCACTAATGTCTGGGTAGGACATGGCTGCCCATGTGGCTGGTACCAGAACAAGGAAGAAAGGTGAGGACTGAGGGGCTCCTGCCCACCACCCCACCTTTGTCCCATTGACCCTACAGGCTGACACCATCATCTCTACTAGGTTAGCCCCAGGTCCCCCTTAAACCCTCACTTCACTTGGCCAGGGCACTGTATGGAGAAGACGGAGAGAGAATATCAAAGTGCATCGAAGACCACGTGCAGAGGAAAACTTCACTTCCCTGATCTCCCCCCTCCAGGACCCTGGTCTGCTTCTTTTCATAATGGGCATAAGGTAGAAGGAAATGTGAACGTATACAAATAGGATACCATCTTCCAGACACACGCAGATATCCCTCCTCCATCCTCTCCTCCCTTAAGCCTCTACCCCACTGCTGGGCTCTCAGGGCATTTCCCTACTGCTCTTTGAGGGGGGTGGGGGTGGCATAATTTGCCCGGGGAGGGGGGTAGGCTGGTACCAGTGAAGCCACCGATGGACCAGGCATAGATGATGATGTCCTGGGGCTGGAAGCCCAGGCGGTGGATGGCAAACTGGACCACCACATCCATGGCATTGGCCTCATTCTGAGGAAATGGCACCCCCTGCAGGAAGAAGGGCAAACTCAGGAGTGGGTTAGCACCAGAGGCTGGTTCATGGGCCACTTGCACGCTTCCAGCACAGAGCTACCCTACAAGAGACAGAGGGTGCAGAAGAAAAGGGTGGCGAGAGGACCCGCACTCTCCAGAAATGCCACTTCTCACTGTGGGGTGGCGTCATGGTTCCCTGTCCTTGGCACCCAGGTGACAGATGAGTGAGAGCCACCAGAGAAATATACACCCCTTTTCCTAATTCCAGTGGCTGACCAGAGGGAGACAGACCATAACCATAAATTCAGGAAAAGAAAGGGATTTCAGAGAGTGTCTCACCGTGCTTCCAGCAAAGCCTGGATGATTCCAGCCCAGGACAGAATATCCAGCTGCAACACAGGAGGAGGAGGAGGGGCTATGACCTTGTGGCCCACACCTCCCCCACCTCCAGCCCCAGGGGAAAGACCAACACAACATGGGAGCTCTAAACAACCCCAAATTTAGAGATGAGTAACTCCAAGCTTTCTCAGAACGGGGAGATGACACCAGAGGTTCTGAGGCAGCAGAAGGGAGAGATCTGATTATGTCATGGGGACAGAATGAAGGCCATAATGTTAGGGACACAGCCCAAAGGGAGGGAATGTAAGGTTGGCAAAGCGAATGGGGAGTAAACTTTCCCCCCAAATGTGAGAATTTCAAACCTCACTCAGACAAGGTGATCTGGCCCAGGGAAGTTATACTGGTGTGGGAAGGTGGGGACATTCCATTCCAAAGGGCAGAGACGAGTATTGTGCCCTGGGCCTACCTTCCAGAGGTGTAGAAATGCAGCCCACCTCATAGAAGCCCGCGTTCCCCTCACAGCAGATCACCTAAGGAAGGAAGCAGGAAGGAGGGCTGGGAAGGAGCCAAGCTGGGACTGAAAATCCCCCGTGTGGCAGGACATGGGAGCTTTACAGGGAAGAGGAAAGGGCCTGTTGTCTTCAACGGGAATAGAAACTTCTAATTTTACAAGGTGCATGAGAGGCAGAGTGGATGCAAAAGCTTAGCAAACTGAGGAAGACGAACTGCTCGACCACTCAGCAGTGTCGTTTTCCTTGGAAGACCACCGGAGGACAGCTCTCAGAAATGGGGTTATGGATATTTTTTTCCTTTCTAGTTTTTGGGTCTATTTTTTTCATGACTGTTTCTTTTGTATGGCATGCCAATCACTTTCCATCTCTGGGCCCCAGACTTAGAGTCAGATAAACTTTAATTTCATGGGGCCCCAAGCCCAAACTCAGAGATGGTGGAGCTTGCATGGATTCTCATAGCAGCTGGGCAGTGCCGGAACCAGGAGTCAGCTCCCTGGACTGCTGACTCAGTGCTCTTTCCATGGCTCCCTCATGGAGGCAGGATATACTGGAGGCCAGGCTACCTGGATTCAAATCCCAGCTCTCTCACTGTGTGGTCTGGGAAAATTATCCCAGGCTCAGTTTCATCATCTGTAAAATGGGCTCTCCTAAAAATAGTACCTCTTCTGCAGGGTTGTTTTGAGGATTAAATATATGCCTTCTATGTGATAAATGCTGTCTAAGTGGTGACTATTACAAGATTACTTTTTGGTCCTTGAATGTCAACTCCTACTTCATCTATTTCCCTGTGGTAGGGTTTTCCTACGCCAACATGTCTTGAGGGTGGGGTGGGAGATGGGATTATCCCCAGATGTACTTCTTAGGGCTGCTGTAGAACTGAGGTCCCCAGAACCTCCACTGCTCTCCCCGCACCACTTTTGGGCTGGGCTCCCTGCTCCCTCTCACCAGCTTCTGTCCCTGAGGCTCAGCTGTCCCCCGCCGGTCCACAAACATGGTGTCAATCTCGTTGCCATCGCAGGCCAGCAGCTTTGCCCGGCGCCCGTTGCACTGAGTGGGGGAGATGTTGTGAGGGGCAGGAGGTCACATCCCTGGTAGGGGGAGAAGGACCATCGGGGGTGGGGTGGGGGCAGGGGGCCTCACCTCTTCCACCAGCCGGGCCTGGCCCTGCAGCAGCATGGGCATGAGGGCCTTCTGAAGCAGGTACACTGAGCCTGGATATAGCATCCGGCGCCCCAGAGTGTGCGCCACCAAGTAGCTGTGGGGAACATGGGGTTAACGAACCCTTGACCTCAGTAGGACCCAGGGATCATCCTAGCCCTAGCACTCAGAGACTCTGGGGCCTGCTTCACCCCTGACCTTTACAGTTTTGTTTCTTGACCTTTACAGCTTTGTTCTCCTCTTTCAGGACATAATGAAGTAATATATGTACCAGGCTGGTGTTCTTCAAAATTTTTTTTACTACAACCTTTATAATATGCACATTTTATATTGTGGCCCAGTACACACATCTATATTTATAATATTGAAAATTTTAGGAGATAATATTTTCTATATGCGATAAGTAATTCTTATTAATTAAGAGAGAGGGAGATACAGAATCGGAAGCAGGCTCCAGGCCGGGAGCTGTCAGGACAGAGCCTAATGCGGGGCTGGAACTCACAGACCGTGAGATCATGACCTGAGCCAAAGTCGGCCGCTTAACCGACTGAGCCACCCAGGCGCCCCTATTCTTTTTAATTTTTAAATGTTTATTTATTTATTTAGAGAGAGTGCGTGCACAGGTGGGGGAGAGAGAGAGAGAGAGAGGCAGAGAGAGAGAGAGAGAGAGAGGCAGAGAGAGAGAGAGAGAGAGAGAGACAGAGACAGAGAGAATCGCAAGCAGGCTCCACACTCAGCGTGGAGCCTGACACGGGGCTTGATCTCACGACTGTGAGATCATGACCTGAGCCGAAATCAAGAGTCAGATACTCAGCCAACTGAGCCACACACGGACCCCAAAGCAAAGTTATTATTAACTATGATTCTGTTAATGTATAAATGCAACTTATTTAAAGGCCCCCTATAATACTTTAAAAAATGACAGCTGTAATTCACTCGATTTCAAGATTCATGAATGGACGGTAGTTTGAAATACACCACACTAGACTGCAGACTCCAGCAGGGCAGAGACCTGACTGTTCTGTTCTGCAATATGCCCTATTCTGCCACGTAGCAGGTGGCTAGAGCCTGACAAAGAGGGGCTTAATAAATATTTACTGAACAAATGCACTAATCTAGACAGATAAGCTGTGGTAGGTATCTGAAAAAGACAATTAACCATTTCCAGTTAATCCTGAAATAGGATTTGTCCCCAGAAAAAAACAGGTATGTACCACCCTGTCCAGCATCCCCTCAAAACTGCAAATTTGGTTTGTCCCTCTGACCAATCGTCACACAGGCAACAGTGATCACTAAATCCATCCCTTTCCTTGGTATCTTGGAACTGCCTCCCAGCCCCCAACAATAGAAAATTACCACAGCATCTGCTCTACTGTAAGGGAGGAAGGCTTACTGTTGTCACTTCTGACATCATCAGTAGCCACAACTTGGGCTTTGCTGTCAAGTACCCAGGCAAAGTAGTAACCCTTCTGAATATGTTACTCTACTTAATATACCAATCCTATAAAGTGCGTTATTCATGGATGCAGAAATTGTAGCTTGCTTAAGGCAGAAGAATCTAGGAGTAGAGAGGCCAGGTCAGGGGCACAGCTGTCACCAGATGCCACTCCAGCTAAGGCTATGTGTCTCCACCACACTCTCAACCTCATTGTTCTCTCTCAGCCTCGTTAGAAGGGCTTTTGTGGGGTGTCTGGCTGGCTTAGTCGGTAAAGCATGTGGCTCTTGCTCTTGGGGTCGTGAGTTCAAGGTCCATGTTGGGTGTAGAGCTTACTTAAATAAATTTTAGCAGCACCTGGGTGTCTCTGTCAGTTAAGAGTCTGTCTTTGGCTCAGGTCATGATCTTGCCATTCGCGGGTTCGAGCCCCACACTGGGCTCTCTGCTGTAAGCACTGAGCCCACTTTGGGACCTCTGTCTTTTCCTCTCTCTGCCCCTCCCCAGCTCTCTCTCTCAAAAATAAATAAACATTTATAAACAAGTAAATTAATTAATTAAAAATAATAATAATAAAATAAAAGAGCTTTTGTGTCAGACAGAATTATTAATATCCCAACCCTTCATTCACCATCTGTGAGACTACACCTCCCTGAGCCTCTTTTCTTCACATATAAATGTAGATTAAGGGGCGCCTGGGTGGCGCAGTCGGTTAAGCGTCCGACTTCAGCCAGGTCACGATCTCGCGGTCCGTGAGTTCGAGCCCCGCGTCGGGCTCTGGGCTGATGGCTCAGAGCCTGGAGCCTGTTTCCGATTCTGTGTCTCCCTCTCTCTCTGCCCCTCCCCCGTTCATGCTCTGTCTCTCTCTGTCCCAAAAATAAATAAACGTTGAAAAAAAAAATAAATGTAGATTAAAAACCATCACAAATAATACAAAATACATAGCACTAGGCCCAATAAATGGCAGCTATTTTATCCATAGCACCCAGTCCTGGAGTCCTCACCCGATGTCCCCTCCACCCCAGATGGCCTCTCTTCCCTGCTGCTTCTCACCTGGTGATCTGACAAGGCAGCTTCTTGACCCGGTTGAGGAGAGTGTCTGCTGTCCCCCGATGCAGGGGCTCTGGGCGAAGCAGGGCCACGCCCTGGCGGGAAGGGCCCCCTCGAGACTCCTTCCTGAGGATGGAAAGATGTAGGGGAGGTTGGAGTCAGAAGCAGCAAGCTGAGGTCCAGGAATGAGGAGATGGCACTGGAAAGGAGGCCCTGGGGCCCAAGATGGGGATGGAGGTGTGGGACAGGACAGAGCAGGATGGA